GTTACCCCAAAATTTCATAATTTCTGGTAGATGGATATGCTACCCAATAAGAACGCAAAATATTTAATTACTAACATTTCAAGACTCTTTCTTAAAGATTTCACAATTTCAACAGACAGAAAGGTAAGGTAAATGATGCACCAAAGTCCCGATATATATTTCGATTTACACGAAATTTGGCACAGCTTTAGATATAGCTCTCATATATATTTTCGTCTGATTTGAGGTTAATGAAGCACAAAAATCCCTATATATCTTTCGAGTTATACGAAATTTGGTACAACGTAGTGAATTAGGCCTAGAATGATGTGTGATTAGTTTCGTTAAAATCGGTTCAGATTTAGATATAGCACCATATATATTTTCGTCCGATATAAGGTAAATTGGGCAACAAGCAAATTGGGACAAAATTTTGCACAACGTACTGAAGTTACTATAAGCTACCGGGTGTCAAGTTTTGTTGGAATCGGATCAGATTTAGATATAATTCCTATATACAGTTTCGTCCGATTTTAAGTAAATTGTGCACCAAAGACCCAATGTTACGTCGATTGTCACACAATGTTTCACAACGTACCGAAGTTAGAGTAGTCTAACGTGTGCCAAGTTTTGTTTAAATCGGTAGGTTAATGTTTCCTTAAAATAGTTAGCTGATTAGTTCCGTGTGTTGGGGTTGTATTTTACCATAGTATAGGGGATAGTAGTTACTCGAAATAGTCAGTCATAATCATTCCGCTTTCTAAGGATATCGTGATAAAAAACTCGAATATTAATATGAAATATATATGGCAGGCTAAATGTCTTATAATTATACCTCCTGAAGAAAATAATTGAGGTACAAAACTAAAATATTGGGTTCGAAATTGACATATATGGACCACTAATTAGGCATAGACCTCATATAATGTTAACCTCAAATATTCGTTATGTCCTACACTATGTAATTAATATTGGTAACCCTTTAGACATAGCCTCATATAACTTCGTAATCTAAATTACAGTAGTTTGAGGATTTTATAAACTACCATGGGTAACCAGTATCAGTCCACGTTTTGGGGTTTTCAGATTTTAGAAAATACCCCCATTAAAATTCGCTGAAATTTGTATTTGGTGTACATAATGGTTTACATAAACCTATTTTAAAGTCCACTTGTTGGTATGTTCTCTACATTTTTATTTCAAGTACATCTCTGTATATGTATGGTGGAGGGTATCAAAAGTTCGACCCGGCCAAACTTATCGCTTTTTTCACTTGTTTATCCTTAGTTTTTTTTTCTAAATGGTGCATCACAGGGGACCCTTATCCATTCGAAATAATTGTTTTCTTAAAAAAAATAATTTTTACAACAAATAAAATGTTATTTCGCACCAGCGCGAAATACAGCGTACCTCGCTGGTGATCTAAATTCCCAAAGTGTGTCCGATTACCACACAATTTTGGGCAGAATACCAAATTGAACCTACTATTTTTAAATATATATTTTTCATCGATTTTGAATAAATTTCGAAATGAGGCACTAAATAGCCAATGATTTTCCGATAGCAATGAAATTTTACATAATACTAGCAGGACCCGTGGCGCTGCTCCTGAATCTTGAATTTTTATATACTCGTATTAACAATACAGAAATGTGTGAAATATCTATGCGTTCTCTTGTCTTCCTATTGGTAACTGGCGATATTTGTATAGATGTTATTGATTTCTGTAATGTTGGTAAGTCTTGATTTAGATTAGACGAGTTTACTTGCGGCAATTCTTGTCGTTCTCTTTTGAACTTGCTTCATGCGTTTATACAAGGCAATTCGGTTTCCAAAATATTTTTCTATTTGTTTTTTTTCACATTTAAATCTATATAAAATGTCAACAAATACGAAATACACAAAACGAATTGCCAGAAAATTGTCGGTACGAGCAATTTTTTTCATTTCTATTCCCCTTGCCCCTCTCTCCTACAAACAAAGACTTGCCGCAAGTAAACTCGCCTAATCTAAATCAAGACTAATTCTAAGAAAATTATGTTTTTCATATACTGAAAAAAATTCAAAATTATATTTTTTTCGTTATAAGTATGTATGTATGTGCATGAAAATGAAGAGAAGACGGTTAGTATAATTAATGAAGTGGTAGTTATTGTCAGTACAGATAAGTACACTTAATAGGGTAAATAACTATTTTTCACATCTTAATATCCCACTATCCGACTTATAACGTATTTTCCAGATGAAAATAAATCATTTTATAATTAAAATCAATGTAAGTGACATTCAATCCATTTTTATTTTTTAATAAATTGTTAGAGTATGTTTGGGTCTTCACTTCAAATACTATTTTCAATGAACTTAAACGGCATATACATAAGAACTTTTTAGCCGGGTTAACCAACTTTATGAGGATTTATTTGACATATATGCAAAGGAATTGACAATTGAAACCCACTGGGTTAACGAAATCCGGATAAATATAAACGTGCTATTATTCTCAATTAGTCCCAAACGTGCCATTTTTTATATATGACCAACCCTAATATTCGATATCAGGCATTGACATTTTTTCTATAAGAATCAAGGCCTATATAAGGTCGGCCGAGGCGAAAACCATTTGTTTCGCCTTCAAATAAAAACCAGTAAGGAAAGTAGTAAAGTCGGACGGGGCCGACTTTACTACTTGGGGATCTGGACCGATTTTCTCGAAAGTTGGCAGACATCTTTCTAGGCTCAATTCAGTACGTTATGCCAAATTTCGTGCAAATCGAAAGATATATAGGGACTTTGGGGCACCATTTACATGGAATCGGACGAAATTATATATGGGAGCTATGTCTAAATCTGGACCGATTTTCTCGAAACTTGGCAGACATCATTCTAGACGTAAGTGATTAGGCGGTACTAAATTTCGTGCAAATCGAAAGATATATAGGGTGTTAACGCCAAGGTTAACTATGCTGGTCACCCTATTTTCTATTTTCCATTTTCCTTTTATTCGCCTAAATTTGCGTCTCTCTCTTGGTACTAAATGCAAATGTTTTATGTTTTCCACTGGTTGTTTTCTTTGTTCTCATTGTAAATAAAAACACTTCTATTCTAACCAGCAAACATCACTGTTCTTGGTAAGATACCGTTTCCAAATTCTATACCGAATTTTGTTCAATAAAATTCCACCATTTGGAAAATTCCCATTCTAAAACCCTTGTTTTTCTTTCTTTGGTTTTTTCATAAATATTCCGAGGAGAAATTATTCCTGCTCAAGAGCCTATACTTTCCTAATTTCGGCAGCGGTTAACCATCCCAGCTTTTACAGAAAATCCAGTTTTGGCATTTTCATTTTGGTCCATTCGTACCGGATATTTGGATAGCTGTTCCGAAAATTTTCAAAAATATCAATTTCTTCATCAATTTATTCATCGAACAAGGTAAGTTTGTGCTTTATATTCAAAGTGAACAATAGTGCATAATTAAGTGTGGTGTTAAAGTGCGTTTTGCCGACGGCAATTGGGTTTTCATTTCTTTCAAGCGCACAGTGTTTCATAGCTACAGCAAAAATTTCTGTAATTTTCTATTTCAATAACACCACACTTCAGTCATTTTATTCATTTAAAAAAGTTGGTGGAATATTCAAACTATTATATTTACAAATTATTATTTTCATTATTTGCTTAAAATTATATTATTTTTCCTATTCGTATTTATTTCAAAGTGTTTAAATAACATAACTTCATTTTTTCCGCATCGCGACAGTGTGTTTGTTATTCCAATTATTCTTTTCTTTTTCCTTTTTTACCGCGAGATTTTGGTACTAATTCTTTTTATACGTGTTTGTTGGTGTGTTATTTTCCTTTTCGATCATTACATCTCCTTACTACAGTAGTTGTTGTTGTTACAGATCTCCCTACATTCGTCTCTTTAGAACAATAACTACTCGTTCTCATATAACACACCGTCATACGTACATTTATTCTATTCTTGTTTGTTTGGCTGTTCGTTTGTTCGGTCATCCAACGACCAACGTTCATTACCGCAGTAGTTGTTGTTGTTAGAGATCTAACTGCCGTAGCCGCCTTAGCCGGAGTGCTGCTTGTTCTCACACAACACACATTCATACATACATTTATTCTCCTGTTGCTTGGTGACCGCCGTTGGTTTGTTCGTTCGTTCAGCCAACCACTAGCGTTCTCTTACGTGTGTTTTCACTCAACAGTAGTGACGCTATTCTCTTTACTTGTACGTGCACCCTACCGTCGTTCCTTTTACATGGTCGCACTGTAACTTGTTTGCGACATTCATATATTAATATATAATTCGTACATACATAAAGGTAGTTGGTGCTGTATTTTCTCCTTGATTATTTATTGTTCAAATTACTGCCGCTAGGGGGCGCTGTTCAAATAAGGAAATTCGTAGAAAAACTTGATTTTTTCGACATTTATTTAAATATTTCTGTTTTTCTTCGACCTTTACATCCTGTGATTTTTTCCTTCGCCTGTGCTTATTTGTAGTACATTCTCTCACCACTAGAGGGCGCTGTTTAAATACAAAACCCCATAGAAAACTTTAATTTTTTTCGATTAGTGGTTAATTCTTCCTGGATCTACATCGATCTTTTGAGCATCTAGCAGCTGCACATTTGTTTCCGACTGTGCAAATATCTATAGTGTGTTATATCGCCGCCAGGGGGTTCTTTACATATTAGTAAATACTTCAAAAATCATAATATCTTCAGTATTATTCCAATTTCTTTCCGATTTCATTTGGTTTTTCGTAGACATTCACCTACTGCATTTATTTTCTTTCATCGTTTTACCAATTGTGCATTCCATTACCACTAGGTGGCGCTGTACAGAAAATAAAATACGAAGGAAAACGTATTTTTCATCAACTTTTTAGATATTTTGACCAAATTTTCTTGGGAAATTATCCTACTTCCTCTCGTTCTTACAGTTCTTCCTTTATTCTGTACCAGTCTTGTTCTAACTCAATTTTCATTCATTTTTCACTGATTAATCATGTCCTTGGAAGCCTTCATTCGTCAAGCTGATCGTCTGGTCACCTTCAATGCCGAAGTAGTCGGTGGTAATGTTCCCTTGACGTCTGCACAATTCGTAAATATTCACATTTCTGAAGTTAAGTCCTTATGGGCAGGCATCAAATCAGCGTATGACCAATTTATGTCCGATCGAGCCAGCGAAGAACAGGACGAGGAGGATGATGAACAGGAAGAAGAAGCAGAAGCCGCTTCAGAGCTCGAGACATTCCAAGCCAAATATAATAGTGCCTATATCACTTATTGCGAGTGCTTGGCTCGCCTTACACAGTTGTCTGAGGATCTCCAAAGGCAAACAGTTCCTAAAGAGCCTTCTGTTTCACCTCCAAACCCTTCGCCTCAGAGTCCTAATTCTATAATCCATAATGATCAAGGTTCAAATTATTCTTTCAACCTGCCTCCATGCGATATCGAAGTTTTCAACGGGGATTATATGTCATGGCCTACTTTCCGAGATATATTCACAGCCGTGTACATAAAAAATTCTAGGCTCAGTCCAGTCGAGCGATTGTTTCATTTGACCCAGAAGACTAAAGGCGAAGCTAGGGATATTGTTCAACGTGCACCTTTGACAAATCAAGGTTTTCAACTTGCTTGGAAAGGTTTGTGCGATCGTTTCGAAAATAAACGAATTCTTGTTAATGGTCAGTTAAAAGTTCTATTCAATCTTCCTGTCATTAATTCCGAGTCAGCGAGTGCTATTAAGTCATTGCAACGCGACATAAATTCTTGTATTGCTGCGTTATCTCTGTACGATATCGACGTCAGAAGTTGGGATCCAATATTTGTTTTTCTTTGTTCGAATCGTCTTCCTGACTCAACTCTGACGCTATGGGAACAAGGTTTGGCTGACAAGACTGTTATTCCAAAATGGGCTGACCTTGATTCTTTCCTTACGAACCGACATCGTACGCTCGAATCCGTCTCCGAGATGCGCAATTATCCGAAGTCTGATGGCCATAAAACTAAATCCAATATACATTCAAATAATTCGAAGTTCAGCTCTTTCCAGACCAATGTTACGGCTCCAAATTGTCCTTTGTGCACAAATTCTGCTCATATTATCCGAAAATGTCCTAGATTCATTTCTATGGATGTTGAACAACGAGTGGCTGAGATCAAGAAACAAGGTCTATGTCTGAATTGTTTCTCGAAATCTCACCACATAAAAAATTGTACGAGTAAAAATAATTGTTTCGAATGTCAGAGGCGGCACAACACTATGCTCCATGATCGTTCGTCAAATAGTCATCCATCACATTCACCTACGAGCTCTACCAATTTAAGCCCACACTCCACTCCATTTTGTGGAGTAATTCAAACATGTTTTACATCCAATTCTCGGGGTGTTTTGTTAGGGACTGCGTTGGTGAATGTGATCCACTTAGGAGTAACGTATCACGCTCGTGTACTCCTAGATTCGGGTTCTCAAGGAACATTCATATCAGAACGATTCTTCAACAAACTCAAACTTCCGTATCAGCGTACCAACGTTCAAGTTTCTGGTCTTAATAATTCGACAGCTGCCTCCGTTCGAAAATTATGTTCTGTTGTGCTGTCCTCTCGATTTGATGATTCCGTTCAGCTTTCCGTGCAAGCATTCGTGGTTCCACATTTGTCTGGAAATCTTCCTTCCCGCACATTACCACCATCTTTGTTCTCTCAACTTCCTTCAATTAATCTGGCTGACCCACATTTCTTTTCCCTCCACCAGCCTCTCTTATTTCCAATTTCTGCGAGGTCTCCTTAGTCAAAGAGATTTGTCATTCCTACGAAGTTGAGAACCTTCCTAGAGATAAAATTCTCCCTGACACCGATGAATATTGTGAGGAGTTCTACGTTTCCACTACAAAAAGGAATAAAGATGGTAGGTATGTCGTTCGTTTTCCTTTCAACCAAGGTTCCTCAGAGAAAATGGGCCTTGGTCGATTCCGTTCAAGAGTTATAACACAATTCCTTCGCAATGAGAGCCGACTTCTTCGTAATTCAGACTGTAAAAAGGAGTATGATCAGG